TAAACGTAAAAATTTTCTTTTTTAAAGTTTATTGCTTTAATTTTAATAAATATAAATGAACATATAAGTATCTAATAAAATTAATTGAAGATTGAGAATTGTTAATGCGATCCGCAATTAAGAAATGATGAAAATATAATATAAGTACTTATGATACATTGAGAAAGAATTGTATATATTTGAGACTAAATTAATTTAGTTTATCTTTATTTCCTTCGTTAGAAAGAATGTATGTATGTATTCAAATTATATAAATATAATAAGTTTGACTCACATTCTTCATCGAAAGAAATAAAAACGATCTAAATTAATAACTTAGTCTCAATTGAACAATTCTTTTCTCAAGTGTATATTTCACGATTTTTAAAATAGCTTCTCATCATCGATATCTGATAACTTGATAGCTTATCTGGACGCTTATCGCTGCTTCATTCATGAAAACGATAAATATATGAACTAACAAGAAGTCGGAATGGAATTCGTCGCATTACATTAAAGTGTAAGTGGTAGAAGATCAATTTCTATTTTACAGGGAGATGAGTCGAATGCCGCATAAATTTGATCGGACTTTCATGTACCTACATGTCGTGATCTTTTATGAAACTATAATGCTCGCTACGGATCCAACATGAGATCTTTACGACCATTACGAGTGATTCCATTCCTTTTAGCTCGTCTTTCTCTCGTTTTCTCTTGAAGCGCCACAATGTCTCCTTCGGCTTTTCCATCTCCTACTCAATTAATTCGCATTTCGCTTGGCGGAATCGTAAATCGTGAAACTGGCTTAATGAACGGTGGACAACAACTCGTGAAACGCTCGGAGACGTTAAGACTCATCCAAACGCGGCGATTGTAATTGGCAGACAGAGGGAAGGGAAAGTCGAAAGTTTGTAGTGTCCTTAAATGGCATTCGCGGGCGTAATTATTGTTAATCACGAAAGTACAGAGATATATGATTAACCACGTTAAATTTAAGTGTCTTTAAATGTTGTATTTACGCGAAAGCACATATGAGAAATTATGATAATAAATTTATACTACAGTAACAATTAATATAATTATAATGATTGTAACAATTGTTGTGTTACAGCAATAAGTCCGCAAAAATTTGATGAAAAACTGTTACTTCTGGAATTATTCTATAAGTTAAATTATTTGATTTCAAGTTAAATCGTACATTAAACAAATGCAAATAATTGATGTATAAGGAATATTGATGCTTTTATAAAGAAATAACACACATATTTTTTACTTCTCAATCCTCTCTGTAATTGCCATTAATATTGTTTTCAAAAAGTAATTATTATATGATATTGTTCAGCTTTCGTATGTATAATAATTCATTGTATATTGTTTATTATTACATGTTGTATACATTTTCGTAAGATTTAAGATCCCAATGTCGACAAGTCCGTTTTTAGCTGTTACAACGCATTTACATTCTATTGCGACGCGTCGGGGACCAAATACCTGTACAGATCATCGACGTCCCGGAGATTTACGGCGTGTCACGTGAGAGGTCGTCAGCCAAATTGTTTCACATGGATTTTCAGGTCGAGTGGCCGGTACGCGCACCGCGCGGCCGCTGCCCACACGCGACGTCTCCGCAAACGCATTGTGGTTTCTAGGCGCTTATTTATGCACGGCCCGCCGTTTCCGCCCTTTCCGCTTGACGTTTAGGGCCGTTGACTCGCTTGACTTCGTCGTCATATGGCGAAGTCGCTCTGTCGATGCTCCACCGCTGTCACTTTCTCAGTCCGCAGACTTTTATCGCAAACAAATCTTACGGATACTCAGTTTTACGATCCTTTCGATTATACAAATTTTATTAATTTAAAATGTAGCATATTACTAAAAAATTATATATGAGCGCATATGATGGATTTTATTTTATTTACATACAAAAAAAATGCAGAAGAAGAATTTAAATTAATAATTGTATTATACATATAAATATACTTAAAAAAGAAAGGGAAAGATAAATAGATAGACATCGTTATTTATTAAGTTTAAAAAATAATACATAATTATAATAATAAACAAAGCATATATTATTAAAAACTGAATTAAAATAAAAATAATGAAAAACTAATAAAATAATAAAAATAAAAATAGAAAAATAATGAGTGAGAGAACGAGAGAAATTAAAATGTATAAAATACTTGTAGTACGGTACTTTTAAACTACTTATATAGGAACGTTTTCCTCTCAACACTATCAGTATAAGAAGAATGTGCCATTCATACTTTTATACATCGTTTATGGACGCGTTATGCGGCGTATCAGTCTTATCAGCACTTCTAAGCCGCCTACAATTTATGCACGTGTATGTGCGGCTATCGGTATAAGAAAGGAAAGATTGCGGCCGCAGAAAACGCTACTTGCATTATCACAACCACGAAAACATTAAAAATTAAAAAAAATGTCTATAAACTATAGTAAGTAAAGAAAAATAAAAATATTATATATGCTCGAATTTAACAAAATAATTTTTCTAATGTATATAATTTTCAAAGTAAATACATGTATACATTATAAAAAAATAGTTTTTAATCATACGTATTCAGCAGTTAAGATTAAAAAGATAATAAATTTTTGATTAATTTTCTTGATATTTACTTTGTATATTATTTAGTATGTTCCCACAAGAATGAACGAGACGAATTCATTTGATGATACGTCCGAAGAGAAGACAAACGTTAATGGTTATTATCGCGTATTATCAGCTTAACTTATATGTTTCAAATACTGCCGGAGGCAACGATATAGACACGCGCGCCGTTAATCCGTGAACATGCGCCGTTATTTCGCGAGAATTTGTCAAGTCTTCCGCGGGCTCTCTCCGCGCTCACGATAAACCGCGTCGCTAATTGGATGCAAGATCGAAGCTACGTTTCACTAGGACGAATCCATTAATATCGTCTTCGACAGATGGGCTCGCGCGCAAACCCGGTGGTCCGACGAGGGAGGATTTCTCGCGTCGTCATTAATCACTGAAACAGGAACCACGGTGCTCAGGTCGCGCTTAGAAAGCGCCTGGTTTCTCGCTGATATCAGCGCATCATCGAACTCGCGATTTTCATTCCGTCATTTGTAAGTCAAACGGTATAAACAGTGACTATTCGGATGTTATCCAGAGGAATGATTCATACAGTCATTTGGACTTGTTAGTGAACTTATGGACTCGAGCTCTCAACATACTGAACATTTACATACATCTACACATTCATATATGTATGTATATAAATGTGTGTAGGTGCCAAATAAATTTATTTATTGGCAATACATTGGTTAAACGTTGAGAATATATTGAGCTAATATTGAGTCAATGTTTGGCTACTGTTGTGTCAATAATTGTGCTATCAGGATGTATATGTAGGATTTATATATAGATGCACATGTGTTAAAAAATTTCATTAAGCTGAAAAAACATAAAAATTTCAAAAAAGATCATAATTTACAATTCTGCATTTAGCATGTAACGCTTTCTGGATACAAATAAGAGAGGAATCGAATATACAATAATATATAATCGATAAATTCTATACATGCTTTCCAAATTGTTTGGAGTAAAGTTTACTTTCTTCTCCAATCTTACTTCAAAGAATTTAGAGAATATATGCGCGCGATGAAGTCTATTATAGTTAATTACCCGATATATAATTATAATTATAGACGCGCGCATTGCCGGTAAATTCCCATAATTTCTACATTAAATTTTTTTGCAATTGAGTAACATAAATTAAAGCTCTTTATCTTTTTGTAAAATATATGCAAATGTTATATAATGATTAATTATCATGGAGAATAGGTGATATAAAAATATATATATCAATTATTATATCAGTTATATTATCATATAAAAATTTACAAAATTACAAAAATTTTCTTGCCATAAAATTTATCTTTTAATTCTTATATGGCAGTACCATTTGTAGATAAATTTTCTTTACTCGAATAAAGTGAATCGTCATGCCATCTATTGTATGCAGTTGGTACAGCATAAGGAATATAAGAACTGTTAGCACAAAAGTTGTTAATTATCTTCTTTTTGTAAATTTTGTCGGCAGAAAACATATTTTCAATTAAACATTTTTCAAGTATTATTTTATACCATATAAATAAATATAATTTGTGTATATCGGGAAAGGAAAATAGAAAAATGACGTACAAAATTACATTACATTTGTAATGAAAGCTAATAATAATAGAATATTTATTTATTCTTAATATAAATTGTTTGTATAATATAAACAGATGCTCCTCTATACATCGAGTATATATAAGGATTTATAAGTATATTATAATATTATATACTAAAATTTTAATAGAAAAAATAATTTGTAGAAAAATTGTATAATGTATAATCTATATAAAATGCTCAGAATAAATGGCCATGTAGAAGGCCTAACATGAATTTTTAGCTAACGTGATGTTATTATATTATTATTATTATTATTTTGATTGCTTGTTCAACGAGATTCTAAGCTTTTCATGCTTATGCGATAATCTGGACGGATGTTTTAAAAGGCCTCTCTCAGTCTTCCTTTATGAAATAAAGAATCTTACTTTCTTATCGACCAACAAGTTAAATAACTATTCAGGCTTAAGTAGAAAGGCTCCATGACATGATTAATGTTAATTAAATATTATATGAATATAACAAATATAAAAATATAATTGGGTTTTGTTTGTCACGATCTAAAGTCTATTTTAAAATGTTTAAAAGTGTTATTAAAGATAAATACTATCAAAAACATATTGTATTAAAAATATATAATAATCTTTAAGGCTAATGTCAAAATTAAGGTATGAAATAGATGAAAAGATGAATTTTGTTTCCTTAAACATCTGTTGAAACTTTTCAAGTGTTAAATTGGAGAACTTTGCGTGATTTTTTTTTAACAATTTACGCATTCTTATGTAAAGTTACGTTTTATGAGTAAATGGAAATAGAGATTCTTCCTTACTTTGGTCGCAATAGATATGTACGTATTATGTTCGTACGTTGTGCTTTTTTTTAAGGCCACAGAAGTTCTATGTTTGGAGATTGCAGCTTTGCAAAAATTCTGTACATCGACAAAACAACCAGCCAGCAGTAAATCTGCAATAAAAATAAAATATACAAAGATTGGATATAACTTAGATAATACATTAAAATGTAAAATACACTTACGTTGTAAGACATCCAAAGCCAATTGCACAATGTCGCAAATACAGAGTCCAACTAAAGTAAAAACATAAAGAAATAATGTGATTGCAAGCTTTCAACACTTTAACAGTGTTCACATTGCTAAAATAAAGAAAAAAAACTCACATAAATATAATAACCGCCTAAAAGCCACAATCCGAAGGCTAATTGGAACAAGCAAACGATGAACCATCCAATGAGCCATGGCAATAACCATCCACGTACGCCTTCTTTTACGCCATAAACCATTAACAAGGCGCATATGATCAACAGAACAAGATAGAAGATGAGGAAGCCTCCAACAACTTGCATAGCTAAAAATTGTGGGCGTTTCTTATTTTTTTAAATAGAAATGCTAAGTATGTCATAATAGTTAAAAATGTTAAAAGCTTATGAACTAAAGTCAAGCAGTATATAAGTCTATAAACTAATACTCTTACAGAAATTTAATACTAGTCAATACTGAAAGAAAGTAATTAACTCTGTGACACACTTATTTTCAACACTTTGAAGTGGCGCACATGGGTTATTTCATTATTTGTGTCCAATCCGATTTTGAGGTTTGTAACGTGTTTGAAAAATTCTGTAAAAATTTACACATATTCTTTAACGTCCTTACTGAATTATTTTGCTATGCAGACATTGGAAAAAGTGTTTAAAAATAAAAAATAAAAACAATTAGAAATGGTATGAGGCACGAATGAGTGCTGTTGATTAGTTAATTACTTATTTTAAGTACAAAAAGCATTCAGTACTTTTAGTGCTCTAAATAAGTAATTAATTCTGTAGTAGTAAATTGACCAGTATTAAATTACTTAGTATTAAATTTCTGTAATAATAAACCTATAATTAAGATTAGAAGTTACGATTAATCTTTGCTTAAGTAAACTATTATATATGTATACATACAGAAAAAAAGTACAATAAATTTGATTAACTTAATTATATAACTTATGATTAGATAATGCAGAGATTTTAACTTTATTTAAATAAACAGTTGTTTATTTGCTCTTGTCGAAGTAAAATGCCTCCTCTAAATACTTTAATACATAGTCACATATATTTGCTAATAGATTTTTTAAGAATTATTAATTGAAATTATGGTATTTACTTAATGTTGCAAATATTAGATATCGCTTTCAATATCGAATGAAACTTGCGATTATCTCGTATTTATTTTGTATCATTGTTTTAAAAGAAGTATAAATTAAAACTTAAATCTCTTATTTACAACTACGCACTTTAATGTAACTAATTAAACAAATAACTAGTAATATTTTTCACGTGAGTCGTTTACATTAAATCAAATATTACAGTTCAAAAATTTTTGCAAAAGAAGAAGTAATATATTATATAGCTTAGCTTTCTTAAATTTATATTTGTTTCTGCAGTACTATTATTATATGATCAATATTATACTTACATCCCCTTACATCAGCCTCAAATAACGGATTATACAGCTGCGTGGAATCGCCACCAGCCAGTTGATAGGATATTAGCGTAATAAGCACTATACTAATCGCCTGCAAGAAGGTAATTATTGATTACTCGTATAGTAAAAAATTTAGTAAATTTCGAGATGTTAAAATTATATCTGTTAGATATCCTTTAACATTGTTTTACTACCTTGTGATTTTATAGAATTTCTTATATTCAATTAAGAGACACTCACCACTGTGTAAAACGCTATAGCCTTGCAGCCAGTCTTAACACTATTTGACCAAACGCACGGCGTCCAGTAAGATTCCACGATCGCCATTGTTTACACTAAAATCAAAATTTGAATATGAGAAAACGTAAAGCGCGCTTTAATTTCACCGATCATACGATGATGTTATTGAGCGACAGTCGCAAAACTTGGGCGTCGTCGCGCACCAGAGTTACCAACGTAAACATATATCAAGGGAATTACAAGTAAAAGCTTTATCGAGATTAAAATGAAATTGTGCCGATGCACAAAATTAATTCTACGTCCGAAAAATTTCATTAATATTCGTTTGCGATACTTCCCCAAACGCCAATGTCGAAGATGCGTTAAAAATGCGCCGATAATTAATTAGCGTTGCAGGCTCATGTTACAAGAGGCGGAATGATTCAAGCACGTACATTGGATTTTATTTATGTAAAATTGCCAAGCACGTATAGGAAATTTAAAATACAATCACAATTTTTAAATCAGACACGACACTTCTCTTTTGGTGCGACATTGATGTGTTGAATATCAATCGCGCGTTCTCCACTGCCATGGCACACGATGCGACGATGGAGTAAATTCATATCGAACACCAGAACCAAGCCGATTTCAAATATCGTTTTTCTCTCGCTTATACTTACGATTTCTTGGAGGTGCAGATGAATAAAGTAATTTCAGTCAAATTTCTTCTGCAAACGTTGACTTCCGCCACGGTCACCTAGATTCGAATGCTCGAATCGCCTCGGAATAACAGCAGAACTGACAAACAGTGCCATACACGCGTCGATGGACGTACGGTTAATGGCGTCAGGTTCATCATTGGAGTCCCCCTCCACTTTACGAACAGGTCACGATGCCGGCTGTTTCCTTTTCGTAAAGCCTGTGTAACACGTTGGGTCTACCTGTGCTTCGAAGAGTTGGCTAAGTTTGCCACATATATATACCATCATAATATCAATAAACCGTGATTACAAGTATTTGTATTTAATTATTTATCAGGACGCTTTTTTAAAATAATTATATATTTTTGAATAATAATTTTGATAAAATTTCAAATTTTCTTATTTAATTACTTACATAACTGTTTTGATTTACAAAAAGTTTGTATTTTATAATTAATTTTGAATCATGGAAAAGATTTGTTATACTCTGCAGAATCATATGTGTTGCTCTTTTCGTCTTTCCTACAAATTTTAATATTTATTTTATTATACAAAATCTTAGTGTATCAAAATAATAGTACATGAACGGATATATTTTTAGTAAAGCATATAAGAACGATTTGAACAATCTAGTCTTATTTCTTATGCATGATGAGAGAACATATTTATCTTTATTTTATCAATATTCAATTTAATAAATTTATTGATATCATAATAAATTGAATCAATGTGCCAGTAGTTAGTGACACAGTGCGATTAATGAACGAAACATAACTAGAAATCGCTATACAGTGTTTGTGGCGCCAGCTTTAAAGTATGCGCCGTCGTCGTCACAGTCTTACTTCTTAATAAGATACGATCGTATTTATGTGTATCATATTTATTCATTATATTTAATATCATATTTATATATAATGTTATTATCTATATAAAGTAACTTACACAAATTTAAAAAAAAAATTAGGAAATATTTTAAATAAACGTTTAAAAATATAGCTAACACTTCTATTTGTGTAAAAATTAATTTTTCTTTATTAATTCGAGGAAGGATGAAAAGAATACAATATCTGTTTTATACATAATTGAATTTTTATATAAAGATTTATATTGAAAATGATCGATTTACAGTACCTATCAAACAGATGCGACAAACTCGATGTACCAACTCTATCGCAATCAATACTTATATAGCGATTTACTATCTATTAATATCTCAGTGCAAGGTCAATCCGAGTAGAAATAGAAATAACTACACTTATATCTCTTATTAAGACGTGCATTTGAAGAGTAGCGCGACGTTACTTTGTAATTCGTACTTTAAAGGTTGCAATACCCTGTGAACAAGCAATAATTTCCATGATTCTTTATATTGTAAGATTTATTTTAATAATTTCTTTTATACCAATAAAAGACTAATCTCCAAAGTAGAACACAAAATTATAATAAAATAAAGATGACGTCAAATAAAAATTACTTTAGGAAATATCACAATGATGTCATTTAGTTTAACGATGATTTTGTGATAAATCTTTAACATGATAATGATTTTTAAGTAACTTAAGAGGGAATCTTGATTTAGAACTTTCAAAAGATCAAAATTGATTTTTTTTATAGTAAAATATTTTTTTAAGGTATTATTTCAAAAATTCGAAAATTTAACGAAGTTATAATTGATTTAGTAGATAGCTGTCCGACCGTTCGACGTGTTGAAGTAAAGAAATTTCTATCCGCACAGCACGAAGATTAATTTATGTTTGAAAAACTCGAAATATAAAAAAAAATAGAATTTTTACATTTTTATAATAAAAAAGACCTAATTTATGGAATAGTAGATTAATCAGAAATTAACTGCATGTATATATACTAAAAATTAATCAAAATTTAAAAAGAGCGTTTTTTTAGAAATCATATTTTTCAAGCCCATTAGAACTTAAAAATTAACAAACCGATCGGTTTTATCTTATGGATAAATAAATAAATAATAAATAAATATTATTTATTTTTATTTAATAATAACTGTAAACCTATAAAAGCAATAAAATGTTAATGATAAACCTTTTCGCTTAAAAATATGTCAAAATTACGAAAAAATATAATCTTTTTTAAAATAAGGTTTTTTAAAAAAGTTTTTTTGTAATTTTTTACCTACAGCGAGTTTACACAGGAGATGCATTAATAACAAAAAATAATAATATATATTACTCTTTTGTTTCAGACTGTTTGGATGGGTCCTACATTGTCAACAGTAAATCACACGAAACGTCTCGTATGATATAACGTACTGGCAAATTTCAATAAATTAAAGAAATTATTCTTTACTATTAAATATGTATAAAATGTATACATATGCTTTTAAAATTTCTAGTTTTTTTAAAGTTATAGTTTTTAAAAAAAAATTCAAATTTTTTCTCCCATTTCTAAACGTCTAAACCAAAATGCCTCCTTAACTTGATGTCATTTTAATCTTATTTTGTATTCTAAGTCAGGGATAAATATTTATAGAAATTGAATAGACAGAAAAAATAGATTGTTTTTTACTGTGAGGATTTACAAATACACATGTATGTAGACACCATCCCTTCCTAAGGTGATTTAATTTTAGCATTTATAATAATCTTAAGATAAACTTACTGTTGTTGTCACATTTATTATCGAACCGTCTGCGTCATCGGTGATTAACCCGCAGAAAATGTAGTGCAACGGTTTCGTATTACCTGGCCGTGGTTTCCGTAGCGGATCGCCATGTTGGTACCGCAGAGGAAAACAGAAACCGGGTAGATTGAGATCAATCGATGCTAATGCGATTGTCGAGAAAAAGTGGAGTTCGTACGATGCAGAAATTGTGTTTTACATATGACACGTTTTACATATACGTTTCACGCTTTCACGAAAGACGATGTAACTTAATCGGAATAAAATAAGCGGATAGTGACGTGAAGAAAAGAAATTAAAGGGTCACGTAGATCAGGAAAAATTTTGGACAGACATGTTCGAACGTTTCCTTTTGTAATCGACGTACGCGGAGATCAGAATAGTTTGTTGATTGGCCGTCATTGTCGGCCGGCCATGAGGAATTTCACGGGGCTCTATGAAATGATAAAATCCATTCACTCCGGGGAGGACAGTGCCTACATGCGTCTATAAATCCTCACAGTCATTCGGCGCAACAACGAACAGCGTAATGGATCCAGACATTCGTCGAGATAGCGGTGCTCTAAGACGCCGTAGATCATCGACAAGCAGGATTAACGTCATTTGGATTAGCAATAGTATAAGGTGCAAAGGTATATATCCAGTCGGAAACGACGCGACGGAACGAATATTGAGGAGCTGATCATATCGGATAGCAATAATGACGAAATTATCATTGAATACGATTAAACTGCTATTATACTAATGCCATATGCAACCATTTCTAGATAATAATATAGAAAGGAATTTTCAGAATCATTTCAAATGTGCATTTATCGGGTCCTAAATCAAACTTCTGCTTCAGACATCTGGAGTTCTAGGTCGATCATTGCCCTCTGAAGTAAACTTCTTCTAAATGAAACCGGGCGCGCCCGCCATTCATCAGTACTCGCCCACTGATAGACACGTAATTTCGAACTTCCCATTAACCCCGCCACCGGGATATTATCAGCGCCCAAACACGGAGCAAGAGATGCGTTCCGTATAGTCTTCTCTCGCCGGCTGCTAGTCGAGAAGCTATAAATACATGTGCATGTGCGCTAGATATACAGCTCCCTCCGTTCTCCATTCTTCTCTACCATTTTCTACGATCGTCCGCTATCTTATCGATGCCCTCACGGCAGCTTCCTTAGCATCCGCTGGACCACTGTAAACTGCCTCTCGATTTAGGCGTCGGACTCGGACTACCATGCCACTCGTGCGGCACTGTCAACGTTGCCACCTTGTCGAGAAGTACTTCAACGGAGTCAATGGTTGGAATGAAGACAACTCTGGATTGGCAACGCCGCGAAATCTTCAACCAACACCCGGCACGTGGCTCTTCTCATGCCCCGGTCAAATTGAGCAAATCGGAATAATCAGTAAACGCAGCAGCCATTCCGTCGCGCCGCTTCTGCCGATGAATGTAGATTTCGATGTATATGCGTGCATGTGTGGTGCAGTGTGTGCGATTGTTTATCTGACTTGTTTATCGAAGACTACTAACAGCTTTTGGCTGGCGTTACTTCGATTTCATTTTGCATTAAGCAATAAAATCGCATCTAGTATAAACGTTGCAAGAATATTATAAGAGTATTTTACCAAATAAAATTTTAAAGGTGATTAATTTAAAATTGCGAATAAAATCGGTTAATATAAATGCAGTTATTGCAGTTGAATTTAGACGTTGCAACAGGTTTATATGTTGAGTGCTTTCAGACTTTAACATTATTATCTTTATGATAAAACTTATCGCACGGTTGTTTAATTTCGCAATCAGCTGAGTTTGTGGAACGGAAAATATTTTGGCGACGCATTATATTATCAGAGACAGGAATGCGCTATTTGTTTGATTACCAAACCGAATTTGATGTAATTCTCCTCGGTGCTTGTAACTGCTCGGGTGAACTTGACGTACTCGGAGTACTAGAGTCACTCAAGTTGAACGAAGTATCAGCATCAAAGAGAGAAAGAGAGGGAGAAGGAGAGAGAGAGAGAGAGAGAGAGAGAGAGAGAGAGAGAGAGAGAGAGAGAGAGAACAGAGAAGTTAAGATATGCTACGTTCGTGTTAACTCTAATATTTTAATAAACTATATTGAATAGTTCCGATTTAATCATAAAATGTTCAAATATATAAAAATACAGATATGTTAACACAAATGTTAGTTTATATGTAAGATAATACGCGAAGAAGAGGTTTCTCTTACTTTCAAAATATTCCTGAACGCAAACTCTCTCGTGAATTATCTGCGAATGGAAACACGACCCTTCGCACGTTCAGCCAACGACTGTATGACGCCAGATACGCGGTCTGACAATGAGTCGAGGAATTGATAAGAGAACAAGATTCATATCTAAGGACTATAATAATCTTGTTTGCAAGACTTAAATTTATTACTTACAATTAGCTTTTTGGGATAAATATAATACAA